TTGCTGTGCAAAGGGTGGAGCTGAAGCCAGGATGTTGGATTGTAATGAAGGCATAGTGCCTATTTAATTCACTATGTATGAACACAACAGTTATGGGAGGTTGCCTGTGGATTTACTAGTATCAGACAGAGAAGGTCTACAAGGCTGAAGTTACTTTGCCTAAATCATCTAATCATTTTGTATTTGCATACTTCTTTCTTTTCTTTTCTTTTTTAAAAATGAATTTTCTTCTTCTTACATCTCTCTGTTTAGTGCTGTATAAATTAATACCAGAAGCAAGGGCTAATAAAAGAGATATTCTCCTGTTGTTCCCACCAAACTCTGTATCGACATTTGAGGAAGGCAATTCTGCCATTTCACAAAGTGAGCACAATTCCACCTATTTTCCTTAAGTGTCCTATAGGCAATCCAAAATATCCAGATAATTAGAATCAGGAACAAATGGGATATATTAACTTCAGTTAATGGGGGTGGGGGCAGACGTTACATTTCATAAAACCAATCTATAATCAGATAATCGCATTTCTAATTAACTGTAACATCTTCTGCAGGAGGCACAGAACTTGTTTCAAAGGAAACTAAATGGTGTCCAGTAAGTTATGTTGCTCTCCTTTTTCTGTCTATAAGCAGAGGAAAATCCATGAGACATACTCCTCCATGAATTGCTAGGATGATGTGAACCACAATTTTAGGCATGATTTAGTTGGACACAACTAAACAAAAAACTTCTTTATTTAAAATAGTATTTCAATATATGTTTTATTAAACGGGAATGCAAAAGTTTAATGTAAAACTAAGAGGACAGTTTGACTTTCTATGGTAACTAGAGTTAATTTTTAAAGGGCAAAGTCAAAGCCTCTTAAGGACATAATTTCAATTATATTACGTGAAGGGTGAAAGAAAGAAGGAGAAAGAAACAAAAGTTTTTTTCCGATCAAATATTGGTTAATGCTCTGGTTGGCCACTGTGAGAACAGGATGCTTGTCCAGATAGGCCTTTGGTTTGATGCAGCAGGGTTTTTCTAATGTTATTATCATCTACCTCTGCTAAAGCAACTGTCTCTTCTCTGGTTATTATTGTTGGTCCATTCTACATCTATCTAGAATTGCTCTGCTCAAAACATTCATCCGCACATCATGCAAATCTGAGCATGTATTCCACCAGTTCCTCCACTGCATTCAATTCAGATCCTGAATCCAAATAATCAAACCAGGAATCGGAATCCTCATACAGACTTACGAAAATGACCACCTTTTTTTTTTACATAGGCCCTCAAGATTGACTCATAGATATATTAAAAAGTTTTAAAAACAAACATGCCTGCCAGCATCTACTAGAAACAATTCCTACATGAAGAAACTGAATATGTGTAATGCCTACTTCACACATTATGCAGCAGCAAACTCCAGTTTGCTAAGCACGTAACCCACAGGAACCATGAGTCAATCCCAACTAGTTTTGAGGATGATCTGCATATGCCTGCAAACACATTTGTCACATTCACACTTTACGTGCATAATATATAAAAGGTAGATAACTTAATTTTAGAAGCAGCCACAAATCTGGGTCAGGTCTCACAGAAAGAAAGAAAAAACACAGGTGAGCACGTTAACAAACACATAAGAATGAGTTTTTCCAATATCTGACTTTTCTAGGAAGTAGCAAAATTCAAGCTGGAATTTGCTTGCAACAGAAAACTATAAGAAGGGATATGTATCAAACTGCTTTTTTTTTTTTTAAATGCTCACAAGATTGCAATGGTCTCTCTTGACATTTACATCCAGTGCAATCCTAAGCATGTCTTCTCAAAAGTAAGCCCCACTGAGTGTAACAGGATTTATGCCCAAGTAAAAGTGTATAGGATTGTAGCCTTAATGGATTTATTCCATGTTACTCCGGGATGGCAATCTCACATATGAACTTCTTAACACTGGTCATTCTCCTTTTTGGAGAGCGGTACTATATACCTGTCAAAAGAGCAACACCAACAATTTGCAACTATGCTGCTGATGCCCTTGTATTTAAAGTGTCTGGCTAGAATACAAAGAAGAACCAAACCACACAGATTTCTCTAGTGTGCAGCATTGTTTTGTGTTTTGCACAGAATACAGACACTTCTCTGTGTTCACACCACTACATCTGTCTATGGTTTCTGATAAAACTATCCTAAATTATTTTTGATAAAACTTCTCACAAGTTCCCACTCCACCACCAAGCCCAAAAACATGCAGAAAAGTATTGTAAAAACCAAGATGGTGGGCTTTGGTGTCACTCATTAGGTGCCTCTGGCACACTATCAGTGTTCTTGACCTCTAGTTATGTGCAAAGGGCATGAGATTTGTCACTTGGATATTGAATAACTATGTCAGAAAAGGAATTCAATTTGCAGCGGTGTCAGTCAGATCATGTTCCATAGGGAATTTCATCTGCACTGAAGAAGTCAAAATGCAAAAGGACCCCAAAGAGACTCCCATCTGCTTAATCTTACACAAACAGTCATAGATTGTAGTCTGGTTAATACATGCACTAAGAAAACAAAACAGTCATTCTACACCCAACATTAATAACTTTTAAATCTAATCAATTTCAGTGGGAGTGAAGAGATACTCATTCATTTAACAATGCTTTTAAAAAGTGCTTAACGTTTCTTAGATCATGTCTTGTATGACAAATCGTACAACTGGCAAATGCCATTTCCTGTAAAAATACGTTTTGGAGGGCTTTTTTAAAAAGGTGATGGAGCATGCTGCTGAATTGATTTTAAGCTTCTTGGTGCTAGTAAGACACAACCTCTGCCTAAAGACAGTTTGGATATTTCAATGATGGGGTATCAGCAGTGCTTTCCCCCCTAAAAAATGTTTAGAGGTACTCTTGTTTTCCTACTCATATTGAAATACTGCCCCTCAATGAGGCCAAACTTAGATTTACAAAATGTTTAGGTGTATGCGTACTCCTGCGTCCCTCCAGAAAAAAGCACTAGGTATAAGCATACCCTCCAAGTGTCCCATTTTTTAATGTTTTATTGCATATTTGTATATGTTGGAAGCTGCTCAGAGTGGCTGGGGCAACCCAATAAGATGTGTGGGGTATAAACAGTAAAATTATCATAATGGAATGGGACGTCCCTGTTTTCATTGGAGAAATGTTGGCGGGTATGCATAAGTGGGCTATCTAATATCACCTTGTAGGTTTCACAGCAGGCCACGATCCCCTGATCTGCAACTATGTTGCCTAGCCACAAAGCAGACCGTTCTTCTACTCTTATCATTACTTGTGAAGTGCATATAATAAAGTATTTGATTTTTTTTTTATTTTTAAAAGAAAAACATTTTAGTGAATATTGCTACTTTTGCCGCTGAGGCTTAGTGTGGTAAGACTCAAGTATACACTTCCAGAGTTAACACTAATTACATTACTTCTGGTAAATGAGCCATCCTAGCTGCTAGAGAGCTGTGAAAATTTGAGTCGTGGGCTTTTTAGACTCATCTACCCATGTACTAGGGGACGCGGGTGGCACTGTGGGTTAAACCACAGAGTCTAGGACTTGCCAATCAGAAGGTCGGCGGTTTGAATCCCCACAATGGGGTGAGCTCCCGTTGCTTGGTCCCAGCTCCTGCCAACCCAGCAGTTCGAAAGCACGTCAAAGTGCAAGTAGATAAATAGGTACCGCTCCGGCGGGAAGGTAAACGGTGTTTCCGTGCGCTGTTTTGTTTCGACAGAAAGCAGCTTAGTCATGCTGGCCACATGACCCGGAAGCTGTCTATGGACAAACGCCGGCTCCCTTGGCCCATAAAGCGAGATGAGTGCCGGAAACCCAGAGTCAGTCACGACTGGACCTAATGGTCAGGGGTCCCTTTACCTTTTACCCATGTACTATCTGAAACCAAAGAAGAGCACGGATTGCTAGATGTGAATATTTTTTCAAACCCTCCAACCCCACTACTGAGTCTGCAGCTCTTATCATCTCTGGCCATTGGCCATGCTAGCTGGAAATTGGCCATGATGGAAATTGGAATGCAACACCATGTGATGAATCACAGGTTCCCGGTCCCTGGTTTAATCTGTAGAAATTTCCTTTCCTTAGATGGCTAGAAAGCAATACAGATAAATCACAGAGGATGTAAGTCTCTGGAGGAAGAAAATTCCTTCTGGCAGAGATCTGTTCTTGTTATCCTCAGTTGCTCTCATTGATTCTAGTTGGACGAAGGGCTTGTTCCTAGTCAAATTCAAGTTGGCGCAAATAACTAATAGAACGTGAATCTGTTCTGTCTATTCATAATCACAGGTGACTGTAGCTTTGGGCTGAAGAAGCACATCTGGCCACCATAATAAAGAAGAATGGTAAAGAATAGGCATATACAAGTACACTAACATGTCACAACAAGAGGGGGGGGGAGCCATTTTAAATAATATGGCTGACCCTTAGAGGGTGTCTTACTGTGTCCTGCTTCTCATGTAAGTCAGCTCTTAGTGTGACTGTATAAGGACTTATATCATCTTATTTTCCTTTTGCTCTGAAGACTTTTCCTTGAAAAATGTTTGTAGAGTTCAAAAGCTTGTAACATTATTGGAAGGGGGGGAGATACATTTACATATTCTCTACCCTTAGGGACAACACAATTATACTTCTCTGATCTATGCAGAAAAAAATCCTAACAGTACTTGGCATTGACCACCACTTTTTCCAGCTATTAAGCACAAATTATACTTTCATCCAACTATTTTATTTTTAAGTTTCATAGAGTAACAAAACAGCAAATGATTGCTTGATTGGAAATTTGTTTGATACTGTAATATGCTTAATATACAGTATGTGCAAATAACTCAGTTGTCAATTAGTTCATAGATCAAGTCCTTTTAATAACGGTTGTGGACTTATCTATTTGATGTAATCCTTTGCATTTGCATTTTCTATGGAATTAAACATAGTGCATCATCTGACAAGGGAAAGTAGGTGACATGTATTCTCCAGATTTGGTTCATCATGCAGAAAGTCCTACCTTTGAAGAAGCAGTCTTTGCTGTGAATAATGTAGATTTTCTTCCTTTGCAAGCAGGATGCTCGATGAAGTTCACAGTGATTCTCATAGAATTTGCCATCAGATCCACACACCGGCATATAACTGGGCTTGCAGTCATCTATGCATCTACATTCGGGCTTATCGGTCTCCTTGTTCACAACGCACTTGCTTCCCCGGCCACAGTACTTCTTTTCACATGATGCATGAAGGCCATCTTGCCCATAAAGCACTGGAAAAGGAGAATGGTGGAGCAGGGGGAAAGAAAAGTTTCGGTGTTAACAACTCCAAGCTGAGTAACAAGGGAAGACTTCTTTTGCCGCAACATACTTTAGTAGCCAAAATACTTTTCCAAAGCTATGTCAGACAGATATCACAGAGACTGTGCCACCATTTTCACCCACTGTGCTCCACATATTCACTAAGCACATGATGGAAGGCTTCATTCATTGGCACCACCCCAATGCCAACCTGCCCAACAGTCCCAACCTATGACCGACATGGGTTCAGTGAAGATCTGATCAGAGAGCCTATGTGCTGACATGGAGGGCACTGTGTGAAAGGAGCTTCTTGCATTCAGCCTGCCAAGTCTTTGGTTGGTGCCTATGTATTATTTACTTGCTGATTTTAAAAGTTGAATTCAATAGCCATATGCATAGACTACCTTTCTAGTAGATCTCTTTGCTAGACATCTCTTTGACTTAGAAGTTAGGTTCCACTTTCATCTCTTGAACTATTCTGGGCCAAGACTCACCGTTAACAGTGACAGACAAGCAACCTGGCTCCTTTGTCATTCCCCCATCAGCATGCTTAATAGGTCTTCAGCATTTCAGTCTTTAAAACATTTCTGACATTTAAAGGCTGCAATGTCAGCATATTTACTAGGGATTCAATTTCACTGAGTGGTATCTAACTACCGTGTCCCATCAGTGTAAGGATTTCTGCCCCTGCAACAGGACTCCCTCCCCCTTCCGCTGTGCATGCCAAATCTGCTCCAGAGGGTTGGGAGAACCCCCAGAACAGATGCAGGGGGGCAGGAGGAAAAGAGGAGAATGTTCTGTTGTGCATGCAGAAATCCTTGCACTGATAGAATGAGAGTGCTATGTTGGATTCCTCCTGTTGAACCTACCCCAGGACTTCTGAAGAAACATGTGCATGATCATGTTGCACATCTTTTTGAAAAGACACAGAATTGAGCTGGTCTAGAGGCTGTAAACTGGTGCAAAACACTGAGACTAGGCTGCTGAAGAGGACAGATTATTGCTCAAATGTTTGTGCTGGCTGCCCATATGCTACCAGGTCAGCCTCAAGGTTCCTGTGTAAAATTATAAGGGACATTAATCTGAGTCCAGAATATCTCAAAAACCACCTGAGATCTTCAGGGCATTCACTGTACTGTATTGGACCTCCCATTGCTAGTACAGTGGTACTTTGGGATGCGAACGGGATCCGTTCCGGAGCCCCATTCGCATCCTGAACAGAACGTAAGACATGACTGCACATCTGCGTATGCGTGTGATGTCATTTTGACCATCTGTGCATGTGCGAGCGGCGAAACCCGAAAGTAATGCGCTGCATTACTTCCAGGTCGCCGCGGAGCATAACCGAAAATAATTATCCTGAAGCGTATTTATCCCGAGGTATGACTGTATAAGTAGCTTATATCCACCAGGAGCTGTGTGTTCAGTATTGTGGACCCAATTTTATGGAACTCTTTCCCACTTGAGGTCAGAAGGGCCTCCCTGTTGAACATCTGGCATCTACTGAAGACTTTATTCCTTCCCTTGAGCATTTTAACTGATTTCTGATTTTATATTTTAAACTGATTTTTTTATATTTACTGTACTGAGTTACTTGTACACTGCTTAGAGACTATTGGGTGGAATTCAACATAATGCTAAGTAGGGTATGCATGTAGAGAATGAGATCTGCTTGCAAAACCACACTTCCGCCCAGAACTTCAGAACAGATTTAAGTGGTATAGGAAGGATGAGAGGGAGAGAAGTCCTATTGTCTGAGTGGGCAATGCATTCTATGCATGCCAGCAACTGAGCTGAATAGATAAATTGTTGAAATAAATAATGAATAAACAGGTGGTTAAGCCATGTGAGAAACTAAAGCCTCAGTGATTAAATAATTACAACATAGCAACCACGTGATTTCAATAAAGTTGTCTCTGTATACTCAGCAATGTGCTTGATATGAATAGGAAACTTTTGTTCGTAAAGTGAAAAGATTATTGTGTTCTGAACAGCATAAAACTGGTGTCACAAAACCAGACAAGGTCACATTGGGTTCTTTGAGGCAGGCTAGCCAATGAAGTGCCCCCCAAATGTAGTTGGACCACAACTCCCATCAGGCCCACCAGCATGGCTGATAAGGGATGATGGGAATTGTAGTCCAACAACATCTGGAGGGCACTGCATTGGCTACACCTGCTTTAATGTAATGAAGACTAATTAGGAGGCATTCAACTGGCAATGGGCACACTCTATCGTTGGATGAGTTTCCAAGGATGAAAATTTAGGTTGGATACACATAGCAGTTTGAAGACATTTGACTGTGACATGAGAGCCATACATACATATTGTTTATTTTGGCATTCTCTTGTTACTGTTCAAATGGTTTCTGAAGCACTTCTAACATTCACAAAACTTGTTTGACTAGAGATTAAGGCTGAACAAAATAAGCTGTATGCAGACAGCACTAATTGGCTCTATCATATCACCTTAAGAGTTTGGAAAAAGATTGCCTCCAACCTTTTTTGTCCAGGAGATATTGACCAGGTTTAGACATGTTGACATGTATATCATGCAGGTTCTCATGTTCATATTTATACCAGGGTTTATACACAGGTTCATATTTATGCCATTTGATTCCCATATCTTTCAGGTAGTGCCACAAAAAGATTGGATGACACTGAAATCCTAACAAAAAAAAATTGTTAGTCTCTAATAATGTGGGACCTGATGTTTCAGAGAGCAGAAGGCTTACAGCTATTAGTAGAAATGGATACAGAAAAGGATTTCCCAATGAAGGTACTGTTCAAAAATTAATAGCTAGCATTTTACTCAATTATCCAAGTTTTTCGAAATTAGAAGATTACTGTGCAACGTTAATTGTAATAAGCATAATGTAGAGCATTACAAAAGCATGTTGCAAAAGGACTAATCAAAACAGAAAGGTTAGTTTGCAATTTGCTGCAAGCTTTAATCCTTCTGTTGTTACTGCATTATCATCTTCTCCACCATTATAATGTAGTGCAAAAATGCTTCCATGCCAAAGGTAGGGGCTCCAAAGCCCCTGCCGCCTGAAGTGAGTTATAATATGGAAATGCAACATCAGTCAACAGCTTTATATGTAAAAAATGAAAACAAAATCCCACGTTTCCTCCAGCTGTAGTTAAAGCTTAATTTTCAACACTGTAGATTCAAAGGCAAGGAATCTGTTATTGGAGGATTAACTTCTCTACTCAATAGCTTATTAAAATTCCCACCAACCTTGGCAGGCTAAGAAATATTGACATTTTTTCTTGAATCATAATAAACTAGAAGGTCAAAGTGTCTCCAAGTGGCATAAAAATTACAGTCCCTAAGTGGCATATCTGAATATCCTTTATTCACTTTACTAATTGTTCAGCATGCCCCTGCAACAATATCCATGGGACTGCTAATACTGTAACCTGTGCGTGGCTTGACTGCAAAGGTCATTTACAATTACAGTGTATACTGTACATTTGTCAGAACACATTGTCCCGGTGCTAAAGCACAAAAGCCCTGCAGAAAAAAATCAGCACAGCTAACAGTCATATAAAGGGCTCTATTTTAAAAGAGAACTGTGGGCACTCAAACTTGATTTTGGTTGGGTTGTAGACTTGGGACATCCTATCCATGGTAGTTTCACACTCTGATTTTAAAAATAAATCATCCAAAAAAGCTTCCAGGACATATTCCCTTCCTTCCTCTTCTCTCTAATAACTGTACCCTCTGCTTCCCTGGATTTCATTTACCTGCACTATTCCATAAAGTGTACTTGATGGTGCTACGTCATCATTGGTGATGATAATGAGGATGATGATAGAAGCAAACTCCTAACATGCTTCATCACATGTTGGCATGACCAAGAAGAAGAACCCAGAAGGAAGCAATGCTGTTAGGAACAACGTTGACTCTCAGTGGTTAGTGCTATCAGGAAGCAGGCTAAGCCACTACCCAAATAGTGGCTCAAGTGCATGCAGATTTTACTTGCCCTACCCCATGAGTGAATGACTGCTATTCACCCCAACTGGGAAACTCAAGCTAAACTAAAGCACTGCATTAGGAAGACCACTGTGGTAAGGACAAAGCTTCCTTTCACCTGATTGACATGGAGGCGCCCCTCACGTAGGAAGGAGGAGCAGAGCCACACCACTATCCCTGATGTCATGTACCTCCATCTGACCCTGTTTGCTCATGACCACATATTGAGCATAGATGTCTGAGGAGATGCCGTGTCCTGTAATTCCAGTTCCTGATGAAGGCTATGCCTGTAGTGGGCCATTTGGCACATAATATGTGCACAGTGGGGTCATGTGGCCTCAGGGACAGGGCAAGCAGCACAACTCCACTGTCTCTTTCTGTGTGCAGACTTCACAAGTACAGTGGTACCTCAGGTTAAGAACTTAATTCGTTCTGGAGGTCCTTTCTTAACCTGAAACGGTTCTTAACCTGAGGTACCACTTTAGCTAATGGGGCCTCCTGCTGCCGCCGCACCGCCGGAGCACGATTTCTGTTCTCATCCTAAAGCAAAGTTCTTAACCTGAAGCGTCTGTAACCTGAAGCGTCTGTAACCTGAGGTACCACTGTAATGTGTGAATGGAGTTGGAGCTCTGCATCTCTCTGCACACCCCTCACCCACTGAACTAGTGAATTAACCACTAGGTAACAAAATGGCATTGTATCCAGATAGAGAGATGCTAATTTTCAGCCTGGTAAGGACTAGCAATTTGCAGAACACAGCAATACTCACTTGAGAATAAAAATCAATAGAGGGGCATGCTTTGCTGAGGAGGGGTGGATCATGGGGATTTATATCCACACAGTCAAAATTGCAAATATCAAAATCTGACCTTGGAATTCAACATGTAAGCACTTAAGTCTGAGTTCCTGCTGCATAAGGAACAGCTAGCCCCAATGCTCAGCGGCATTATTCAACCCATGTTTCCCTGAGCTCTTTGGCAAGGACATGCTAGAG